GAACAAGGCTGCCTTGCTTCACTGAACCAGCCACTTGGGGAGGTTGAGAGGAACAACCAGAGGTGGGATTCAAAAATTATAGCAACTGGTTCTCTGCCCGGTTGCTGGGTGGGTGTGGCCATAGCGGCCATAGCCTATTCGGCCCCCTGCACCACACCGGGGGTGGGGGGTTGTTTTTGCCTTTCTCAAGCTCCAGAGACTTTCTTCGAGCCTCTGGGAGGGCGAAAACGTCCTCCCCCGGGCTTTGGAGCTTCTCCAGAGGCCGGAAACGGGCCTGTTTCTGGACTTCCAGGAGGCCCGTTTTTCGCCCTCCCTAGGCTCTGGAGGCTTTTCTCAAGCCTCCGTGAGAGCGAAAAAGGCCTCCCCCAGGCTCCAGAGGCTGGAAATGGGCCCATTTCTAGACTTCTGGAACTTCTGGGAGGCCCGTTTTTCGCCCTCCCAGAGCCTCCGCGCGGGCCCTGCACTTACCTGGCATCCAAAACGGGCCGCGTGGAGACTCCTGGGAGAGGTGGGGCAGGTTGGGCAGGGCCAGCCAGTCCTTGCAACTACCGGTTCGGCGAACCAGATGTAAAATTAGCATCCGGTTCGCCTGAACTGGTCCGAACCGGCTGAATCCCACCCCTGGGAACAACCAATAGCACTTTTCGGTTAGGGCTTGGTTAGAGATACTTGGTTACAGCCCCCTTGCTTTGCGCCAGATGGGAAAAACACTTCTTCTTGGCAAAATGCAAAGCATCCAAGAGATCAACCTCTCTTTTACTTGTGTATCCCTTCCTGGGAACTGTGTGCGGCTGAAACCATCTATGTTTATGGCATCGTATCTAAGGGAGATGTGAGGTGTTGTCCAGTGACATTTATTGCATTTATATCCTTCTTTCCCCTGGGAGCTCAGGGTGGATTTCAGAGTGGGTCATCCCTAATTTAACCTCAACAACAGCAATTTTGTGAGGTGGACTCAATTTATGGATAAAATAATTAACCGAAATACGCCCAAGCGAAATGTGGATTTGAAAACTTGTTTTTTGCAGCCCAGGCGCATCACATAAACCGCATTACGCTACTGCCAAATGAACAGGATAGCAGTAGGGGGAAAGGGCCTCCAGTTTTGGTCCAGTCTCCTCAAACGTTGTCCCTTGTCCTCCTTTCTCTTCTAGTCATCCTTGGGAAGTCCCACTACGTGCTCTACGGCCTTGTGGCTGCCATGCAGCCACGCATGCTTGTGACTTTTGACGAGGAGCTGCGCCCACTGCCAGTGTCGGTGAGAGTGGGGCAGGTAAGTGGTCTCAAAAAGAGCAACCGGCCAGGGGTGGAGAGGGTCCCGAGGATACTTGGGGATCCTGGACCACTTCAGCATTTTGTGCCTGTTGCGGGGACCTTGGTTTTGAACTTGGATGGTGGTTGTCGGAATGTTTTGCCCCTACTAATGCCTGGCCTCCTCCTACAGGCGGTGGATGTGGTAGGTCAAGCTGGGAAGCCAAAAACCATCACCGGCTTCCAGACTCACACAACCCCAGTGCTGCTGGCACACGGCGAGCGGGCAGAGCTGGCCACGGAAGAGCACATACCTGTCACACCTATCCTGGAAGGCTTTGTAATCCTGCGCAAGAACCCTAACTATGACGTCTGAGTTGCCTGGGGGTTGGGATGTGGGTTGCAGTGTGGGGGGGGGGGGAACCATTCTCTCTCTCTGTTTTGTTTTGTTACATAAATTGTCGAAGAAAAATAAACTGTCTTCAGAATGAGGCTGGCTTCTTTTTATTTAAGGGAGAAAATAGGATGGGAGCTCTTTTATTTTGGCTGCAGGGTTGGGAAAAAGTAAAACTTGAAGGAGTTGGGCCTTAAGCCCTTTGAGTTGGGGTTGCCTTTAGTCTTTGTAGTACCTGGAGCTTGAAATGGCCATCTTGCTATAAGATGAATGGGTTTTTTTTTTAAAGCTTCGTTTGATTGGACCAGTGGTTCCCAACGTGGGGCCTACTAAGCCTCTCAGAGTTGCCTCGATGAGTGGCAAATAAATGTACTGTAGTAACGATAACAAAAGGCAGCTTTGCTTGTAACAGCAAGTTTACATCCTGTGACAATATCTGTAACACCACCAAACATTCACGTCTGCTTATCTCAGGTCCTTGGGAAGGACTCGATAGGTGGACAAAAATGCGAAATCCAATCTGAACATCTGGCTGACTGTGCGACGAACCAAAATAATAAACATTAACCTTCTGCTGTATAGCCAGATTTCAGATTTTTGAGCCACCACTGAGAAGGCCCTCTTTTTGTGGACCCACCAAATGTAAATGCCAAAAAGATGGGACCCACAACTTACCCTGCCTTCCTGTCGTAGTGAACCAGGTCGACGTAACGGGGGAGAGGCAGTCCTTCAAATAACCTGGCCCTAAACTATGTAGGGCTTTAAAGGTGATATCCAGCATCTTGAATTGCACCCAGAAACAAAATTGTCAACCAGTATGTTCTGACCTAAGCTTTCTGAGACAGTAAAAAGCACACAATTAGTCCCAAAAACCCTCTTTTTATTTCAATGGCTGTGAATTATGTTCATTCACAGCCCGTGATGAGTCACAAATAGTTTGTAAAGAGTGCAACAGAAGTCTGCCACAGTCCTTCGGGATAAGGCTGATAAACACCCACCTTTATCTCCTTTGACATGCTGCCAAAGATCTAATTGGCAATTAGCTTTGCTAGGCCACACGGAGCACAGAGTCAAAACGGAGCTTCAGAATTTAAACTGACCAGAACAAACAAAGTTGCTTCCTGCAAAGGCTCATGTCCCTTTGCTCCACCTTTACGTCTTATGGGAGGGGCCAATCATCTCCAAGCCTTACTCCAAAAGGCTTGCTGGCAGGCATGCATCCGTGCACTGGAAACCAGTAGTACCATATCCAGTGCGCCACATGCCCCCTGGGCAGCTCCTCTTCCTGGTCGCGGCCCTCCCTTTTCGGCATTCGATGCCAAAAAGGTTTGTCATCACGGCTCTAGAAGGCAGGCCAATAGGCAGGGAACAAAGTAAAACTTAATTTCCTCTTTCTCGGTAACAGAACGAAGTTGCAGATATTTTTATTGGTCGATTTAAACGATTTCTAGAGCTACTTATCTCAGAGTAATGATTCTGGGTCATGTATGGAAAATTAAAAGCCTCAAAATAGACCTGTCTACTCATGATTAACTAAACTACTCAGGAAATGACATTCACACATTTAACAGTCAACCAATGTGGCTTAGTTAAGTTATGCAAACCAGGTTCATTCAGTTAGGGGCTCAAGGTATCAATAGTGTTTCTCAATCTTGCCCGCTGAAAGATCTGCAGACTTCAACTCGGGGGGGAAATTCTGGGATTTGAAGTCGGCAAATTTTAAAACCACGAAGGGTTGAGAAACATTGTATTAGGGCAGGGGTCTGCAACCTTAAACACTCAAAGAGCCATTTGGACCCGTTTCCCATAGAAAACACCAGGAGCCACAAAACCTTTCCCCTGCCTGACTATTTCTTGAGCGGCCACAAAACTAGCATATGTAGTTGAATCAAATGTTCTATTTTCTTCTGAAACTTTTTTCTTTTCTTGGCCTACCGGGGGTTGAAAAGCTCAATAAATTACCAAAGAGCCTTTGGTGGTGCAGCTGACTAAGTGCTGTTAAAGTAGCACTAAAGTAGCACTGCCTGCAATTACTGCAAGTTCAAATCTCACCAGGCTCAAGGTTGATTCAGTCTTCCATCCTTCCGAGGTAGGTAAAATGAGGACCTGGATTGTGGGGGCAATAAGCTGACTTTGTATAAAAAAGAACACCGCTTAGGGGGGGCCAAAAAGCCCTACTAAGCAGGTATATACAAAAGTATGAAGGCTATTGCTTAACACATTGTAAGCCGCCCTGAGTCTCCGGAGAAGGGCGGCATATAAATCGAACCAATAAATAAGTGTGCTGGCGGGTGTCACACATTGGCAATTGTGACACATATTTTGAGTGACGGAGCTGCAGCAGAGGACTGAAAGCCACATGCGGCTCCAGAGCCGCAGATTGCTGACTCCTGTATTAGGGCAATCCAGAAAGCAGGTTAATTAGGAAGTCAGTTTAAGAAGGTGCAGGGGGAAGAGGATTGGCATTTTAGGCGGCAGTCTCCTAATTGGGTCATCATTTCAGAAAAGACTCATCTGTATTTTTATTTTTATTGCAATTTATATGTATCTGTAGAGTTAAAGATTTTTTAAAAGGCAGTTTCCTGGGGGGAGGCGGCTAATCTTAAGGAATTGAGAAATGAATGGCCTCATGAAACTGCTATTCCGTGGCCGGATTAATAAATTTTATAGCTGGACATTCAAAAAGTGTCTTTTTTTTAAAAAAATGCTGATTAACGTCTGGTTTTTTGGGGGTTTTTTTTGCAATGTTTTGGTGTTTTGTACTTTAACCTGACTTGAATAAACTATATTAATATTATTATTAATTTAAAAAGAGCTTTATAAACTCGTCGGCCCTTCCGCTTCACGGGGGGGGAGGGGTGGGACTCAGTCCACCCCAAACCGGGTTTGAAGCAGTTGAAAATCCGCTCCAAAGACCCCCCCCGGGAACGGGAGAAACCGTTCACACGCCAACACGTGTCCTGCCACCACCGGCAGCGTGGCGGAAAACAAAAAAAAAAAAAAAAAAGAAGGCGGCCGGAAGCCGGCGGGCGTCACGTGACGCAGGTCCTCACGTCCTTCTTCCTCGTGGGCGGTCACATGACCGAGGCGCCTTGTCGGCTGGCCGAGAGCGATCAGCTGACCCGGCCGGGGCGCCCTTTCTTCTCTCCTCGAGGCCGCGTTAAGGGGGAAGGGGGTAAAAAAAAAAAAAGAAAAAAAAAAGCATGGCGCGGGTCACGTGACGAGGGCCTCCTTTCCCCCCCCCCAACATCCTTTCACCACCTCCTCCTCCTCCCGAGCGAGGCTTCAGGCAAGCCCCGCCCCCTTTTAACCCCCCCTTCTTTCACTCATGGCCCTCGCCCCGTGACCGTCCCTCCTCCCCTCCCGGCCCCGCCCCTCCCCTCGGAGCGGCTCCGGAAATGGTCGTGCTGGGCTTCGCTGCGGCTGCGTTGGGCCTCGCTCCCCGGACTGAAGGCGACTGAAAGGTAACCCCGCGCGGGGCGGAGTGGGGGGGCGGGGGGGGCGGGGGAGAGAGAGAGCGCCCGGAGTGGGCGCGCGAAGAGTATAGGCCGAGGCGCGGGGGGGAGGAGTAGTGGGGGGGGGGGGGGGAGAGAGAGAGAGAGAGAGAGAGAGAGAGAGAGACGACGACGACGACGGGGCGGAGACCAATCTAAGCCCCGCCCCCTCCGCCAGGCTCCTCTCCTCCTCTCTCTCTCCCTTCACCGCGTCGCGCCTTGCCGGGAATTTTGGCCGCCATTGCTCCCTCCCTCCTGCCAGGCCTCGCCTCAGCACCACGTGGGAGCCCAGGCCGGAGAAGGAGGAGGAGGAGGAGGCCCGGGAAAGGCCGCGTGGAACTCTATCCACCCCCTCCCCCCACACACAAGGCCGGCTTTTCGCTCTCGGCCCGCTCCATTTTGTCTCCCTCCCGGAGGAGACCTGGGGGGGGGCTCCCCTTTTTTTTCTCCCCCCCCCTCCAACGTGCTCCATAGTTAGGTCGGCCGCCTCAGCCACCGGCAGCCTTCATGGAGGCCGCCTCAGCCACCGGGTTAAGCTGTGTGAGGGAACGGCGCAGAATTAAAAAGGGTTCAAACGCCTCACAACCCACTTCAGCCGGCATGGCCGTGTCTACAAAGCCTCCCTACCGCTTCCCGGCTAATTGAGAGCCGAAGGCCGGCTGCTCTTGAGGGCCTGACTCGGCCTCTTTTTTCTCTCTCTCTCTCGCCCTTTGGCTTTCTCTGGACTCTGACCTCTCAAAAAGTCCTTGGCGGCCGCCAAGAACCGACGTTGAATTTCCTGCCAGGGCACCTGTTTTGTTTTTTCCGGCCCCCCTCTCAGCTCTTTCCCCCCCTTATACACACAAATTCAGGATTTATTGCCTTCGGGACTCTTAGGCAACGTATCCACTGTCTGCCCCCTTGCTCCTCCTCCGAGTAAATTTAGCTTTTTTCCTCCCTTTTAACCTTTTCCGACATCTCTCTTTTTTATTTATTTATTTATTTGGTTTTTTTGCGAGCCAGGAATGGAGGTGGATTTTGAGGCGCACAAAAACCTGGTTTGGCTAATTCAGAGGTCTTCAAACTTGGCAGCTTTAAGACTTGTGGACTTCAACTCCCAGAATTCTCCAGCCAGCTATGCTATGTTATGCTGGCTGGAGAATTCTGGGAGTTGAAGTCCACAAGTCTTAAAGCTGCCAAGTTTGAAGACCTCTGGACTAGTTAGCTATAGGGCTAGTTTTCTCCATTCGCTGGGCATGTTATTTTCTGTGCTTCAGTTCATCGTTGGGGAAAGCGGACTAAAGAAGCAAATGAGTTTTGGGCAATGAGGGTATTAACTGAGATCAAAGATCTCTTCTTGGATCTGTTCTTTTGGGGGGGAGGGAACCCCACAGAGAGCCGTAATTTTGAGTTGCTATTTGAAAAAAAATATTGGCTTTCCCTGTTGGCTATAAGCTGGTAGCCTACCCTACCTTTTTAGCTATGCCCTTTCATGCAATAACAAAAGAATCCTACCAATCAAAACCTTTTCTAGGGAGTCTCCATTCTTTATGTATATATTGGTATGCTACCTTTATTTTTACAAATAAGGCAGTCAATGTGTCCAACACACTCCTCCGCCCCCCCCCCCCAACAATAACCCTGTGAAGTGAGTTGGACTGAGAAAAGGTGGCTGGCAGAAAGTCACGCAGCTGGCATTCATGGCTAAGGCAGGGCTTGAACTCTGGGGTCTCTGGCTTTCTAGCCTGGTACTTTCAGCACTAGGCCAAATTGGTTCTTGCTTCTCTTCTTACACTTTTACTTGTTGGGATAAGTCCAAAGGCCTTCTCTTGTGTATAGCCAAATTGAGCAAGAATTGTAAACAATTTTGCACTGGTGAAGTTACTATACAAATGATTAATGAATCTATATACGGAACATCCAGTTCTGCAGCTGGCTTTTCCCTGCAAACATCCTTGGGGGTGGAAGTCCCTCCCACTCTTGAATCATGGCTTGTTGGAGGCATAAAATCCTGTTCCCTGAACGATTCATTGCACCTGAAACCACGAGCCTTACTCTTGGACCCAGAATCCCATACCAGTTTAGCTAGAACGTTATTTGGATTGTCATCAATTTTTGCCATACTAGTAGTGTCTACAAAAACTTGAGACCATGTAAACACAGAGTATTTATGAGGCCTCTTGCTACCTTTGAACAGCAAAGCTACAATTGGTGTAATGATAGTTTCTTAGTATGGTGTTTGAAGTAAAACCAGCTGCTTATATAACATATTCTTAGACAAAAACCTCTTTCTCCACCTATTCCTCCTACATAAGCTTGTTCCTGTCCCCTCCCATCTTATCTGTTGAACCCAGAATCTAAGGCACACATTATCTAGGATGTGTTTGCCATGTTCTTGCACAAAATTTGGAGAGTCTGAACCTTCAGTCAGTTGTTAACAATAGTGGTAATATTTGTAGAATGACTTCAGTCTATAAATTTAAGCATAAGCAGCCAGTAATCTGATTCATTTCTCAGCCAGTGTCTATGAGACAAATTACTGTGGTGGTTACTATCACATTAATATATCTCTGAATTTATATCAGCATGAGATTTTGCTTTTTTTAAAGTGACCTATGTATCATCCTAACTTAAAATGTGAATATCAAAAAGGGTTGGCTTGATTCCACAAATTGCACTGCTCTTTTGATGTGTTTCTAAGCCTTTAAATGGTTTTTCTTTGGGGGGGGGAGGGAGAATGTTTTTACTTAAATGAAAAACTTCTGTTTGCAATTTCAGATCTCTTACTCTCTTCCTTCGAGGACTTCATTGATCTCTATGTCAAATCATATCACATGACGGTGGCCATGATAAAATATCTTCATGTTGTTTCCAAGAAAACTACAGGTAGTCCTTGATTTATGACCATACATGTAATAACCATTCAAAGTTACCCTGGTGCTGAAACAAGGGACTTATGACCAGTCCTTACACTTATGACCATTGCAGCATCCCCGCAGTCATGTGATCAAAACTTGGTCACTTGACAATTGGCTGGTATTCACGATGATTGTGATATCCCAGGGTCAAGTGGTCACAATCTCCAATCGTTCAAAAGGCTTTCAGCAAGCAGAGACACAGGGGTTACCACCTTTGCTTAATGACTGCAAGATTTTCTTAACAGTCCTGGTAAAATAGATTGTAAAATTGGACATGATTCACTTAACAACTGCATCGCTTAGCAACGCAAATTCCGGGGCCAATTGTGGTCATAAGTTGAGGACTACTTGTACTTCTCTATAACCAGAAGATCATCTGAAGTCCAAGCTCATACCTCAACTTGTAACACACACACAGAGGATTTCCAAGAAGTAAAGATGCTTATAGAATCTCATGGTTTAAAACACATTTGGGGTTTACTTTCAGATAGAGAAATATTATTTTGAAAATGAGCCCCAACACAATTTTTTGAAAGAGTAAGATTTTATAGGAATATTTACTTCCTGCAAATCTTTGCCTGTGTTATAAGTTGAGATGTGATCTTGGATTTTCCCTGGTACTTTAATTCAGACTCTGCCCTCTTTTCTCCAGTCAGTAAAGCCACTTTAGACTCGATGACCTTAGATGTGGCTTCCAAACATATCGCTTGTCACTAACTTGAGCAGGTTTCATGTTTCATGAAGGCTTATGCCTTTTATTAAAACGTGACCAGGCTCCCGATCATTTGCCAGGTTGAGCAAGTTTCTTGTAAAGCTGTGGGAGGGTTTTTTCCTCTGCAATTAAATGTGAATTAGCGATGTACAAATATTAGGAAATAATCCCATTCTGTAAAGAATGGGAACATCCAAAGAGGCATTTGCTTTCCCTCTCCATTGCCTTTTGTAAGTTTGACAGCCCATTAACTTTCTTTGTAAACTTAAGGTCACTCAAAAAGATACTTCCATGAGCATAAGTCAACTCAGGCTAACCATTGTCTCATCTGGCATCTCCTTGTTGTATTGGGCAATTCCTGTAAACATTCCCCTCCACAACATTGCCATTTTTAAAAATTGTGTACCTTCTTGGTTTGCATTTGCAGTGCTGGCTTGTAGTCCTCGACTTAACGATCACAATTGAGCTCAAAATTTCTGTTGCCAAGTAAGACATGAAGTTACATTTTGTCCCATTTTTACAACCTTTCTTGCCACAGTTGTTAAGTGAATCACTGCAGTTAAGTTAGTAACACGATTGTTAGGTGAATCTGGCTTCCATACTAGCATTCCACGTCAGGTCACAAAATAAGATCACATGACCTTGGACACTGAAAATCAAATATATGCCAAGCCTCTGAATTGTGATCACGTGACCACGGGGATGCTGTGACAGTCGTATGAAAAACAGTCCTAACTCAGTTATTTTCAGTGCTGTTGTAACTTTCAACGGTCAGTAAACGAGCTGTTGTAAATTGAGGACTGCCTGTATGTCAGAAATCCTCTCCCACTATGTTCTATTTATGGAAATCTGATCTTACTGTCCCAGTTTCATTTTTTTTTCTTGGGTAGGAAAGCCATAGAACAGAGATGGATAACCTTTTCCTGACCAAGTGCTCAAAGCGTGTGCCCAAACCCCCCAAATGCAATGCACGCACGGCCCCCGCGCATGCGCCCAGTCCCTGCGCATGCGCGAGTGCCCCACACATGACTCGCACCCACGCATGTACATGTTTCCCACATGCCCTCCCATGTATGCATCTCCCCCGCACGCCCCCCATGCATGCGAGTGTGGCCCCCTGCACACACCCCACCCCCGTGCATGCATGCATGGGGCCCATGCATGCGCCCCGACCCCCCCATGCATGTGCACACATACCCGCACATGCTCCACATCCCCTGCACATGCACGGCCGAGGCCTGACCACCAGCAGGTTGGTGGGAGGCGCGTGAAAGCATGGTGGAGCTGAACTGGGCCGATGGCTCACGTGCCCACAGAGAGGGTGCTGTGTGCCACCTATGGCATGCGTGCCATAGGTTCAT